TTACGTGCCTATGCTCTTGAATATTGACACCTGTGAACATCTTTCCAGAAACCATAAGTGCACGTTGTGAAATGATTTCATTTACTTGTTCCTGAAAGAACCTCCACTGAGAATCAGATTTCATTTCCCTCGGCCATTTCCATAAATATAATAATAATAAATGCGAATGGTCGAATATTTATTATTTCACTCGAGGTTCGTTGTTATCGTATACAACACTTCTTGCCGGGCGAACGGACATGTGAAAAAACGGACGGCCAGAGCTCGCGACGCGGCGGCGCTCGTCCTGAAGCGCCATTCGCGAGGGAGTTGCGCTTTTCGTCCCTCGGCCGTCCTCTTTGCCTTTCTCTCTGTCGCACGTTCCTCTCCGCTTTCTGTCCCTCTCTCTCTCTCTCTCTCTCTCTCTCTCTCTCTCTCTCTCTCTCTCTCTCTCTCTCTCTCTCTATCTTTCTCTATCTCTCTATCTCTCTCTATCTCTCTCTATCTCTCTCTATCTCTATCTCTCTCTCTATCTATCTATCTATCTCTATCTATCTATCTCTCTCTATCTATCTCTCTATCTCTCTCTATCTCTCTCTCTCTATCTATCTCTCTCTCTCTATCTATCTATCTATCTCTATCTATCTCTCTCTCTCTATCTATCTCTCTATCTATCTCTCTATCTCTCTATCTATCTCTCTATCTATCTCTATCTATCTCTCTATCTCTCTCTATCTCTCTCTCTATCTATCTCTCTCTATCTCTCTCTCTCTCTCTATCTCTCTCTCTGCCGCGAACGTGCCCGCAGCTGGAATTCGTCAAGGGGGCGCGTATTTTTTGCTTCCAGTGATTTACTCCGCCAGCGTTTTTTGCCGTTAAATTGGAAACGAAATAACAGGGGGAGGGCGGCGGAAGGCAGTTGCAAAAACAGCCCCCCCCCCAGCGTGGCGCGGCGTGGCGCGGCGTGGCGCGGCCCGCAGGGCGGGGGCCCTTCGCCTGCAAAGGGACGCGGAATCGAAGGCGAGGGGCACAGGCGCCCTCGGAAAAAGCTATTCGCAAGATGGAGGAAATCGACATTGACCGCTCTTGCACTCTATATCATCAGGAGATAAAGGTTTAGAAACCCTTTGAGATTTGAACTTCGGAATGTTTTTGTTGTTCTTAGAATTTGAAATTGATATTGGAGTTTTTCTTCCAGAATAAGATATTTCTTTTCTATTGTACTTCGATTTAATTCTGAATTTTGTTGATATCACACCAGAAAAGTTCGGAATTGAAAAAATAAAAATGACTAATGATCTAAAAATTTTATGAATGACGAAAATGTTAATTGACACGTTGCATCTTTAGGAAAGTTCTACTCTTCGAAAACGAAGACCATTTTTTTCTTACCTGTCTTTTGATAGTAACATGAGAAGAGCTGATATTTATATTTCATATCGGACAAGAGCAATAGTAGTATTGTTTACAACAGAAAATATATTTGTATCACTTAGTGTGTGAATTTTATCTAACACAAAACTAGAGCACACGTGTGAACGTCCTCGTTTTCCATCTACAACAGTGGCTCTGGTTTTACTAGTGTGTTTCTTCAATACTATTCAGTATTAAGTACTCCTACATGTCCCTTGTATATCTGGATGCCGCACAAACATTATTGTTGTTTTGAGAGATGAAGCTTTTGAAGATCATCAAATCAGTATCTTGAGCATTATTCAGATTATATATTCAACATTTATAAAAGTGGTTGTTCTTTGTATAGACAGCATATAAGGGTGATTTTCCAATCATCGGTCAGTGTGCTGTGTCACACGGATTTTGGGGCCGAGAGTACTAAACATTTTGCAAACAATACAATCACAAAGAGGAAAAAGTCTTTGTTAAATTATACATTAATCATCTCGCGAACATTGTCCGGTAATGTCACACGCAACAAGACAGAAGGACAGGAACGTCTGGAAGGCCTGAAAGAACAGTTTGAGACCCTGTTGCCACAGAATTGCTTCTTTACATGGTGCTAAAACCCAAACGTGCAACACCTTTGCCTGTGCAGTATCCTTGAGAGGGAGGTCCTTGAGAAGTTCGAGTCGTGGAAGACGCAGGTTTTCCACACTTTGGAGCAACGCAGCTGGGTGTATTTCTACTATAAGACGAATTTTAGTGACCGGTGCTACGGTAGTTTTCCGAGATTTCTCCGATCAATACCAGGTGAATGCCGGAGATGTATCCCAACGAGCCACAGACAGCACGTGCTCTATCCTTCTTCATCTGTCTTCCCTTGCGCACCCTCGCTTATATTTACATGAAGCATGGCGAGTTTAGAGTTTGCCTGGTCGGGGGCGGTGCCTCGCTGGCTGAGGCGCAGGAATAACCCGCCAACCGTCATTTAGGTCGGTCCCGGATCTCACGTTCCAGCTAGAGAGGAACACCATCACATTTCGGGGTATAATATACACTAAACTTACGGAACTAATGACTAGTTGACGTGCCCAAAAACAATTACTCATTTGTTCTTTTGGCTGAATTGGCGCGGCGTTCGCAAGAGTTCCACAAGAGTGGGGAGAAAGGACACGTAGCGACGAAGGATCGGCAAATTAGAAAGGGAGAATTGCAACGGGTCATTTCTCGTTTGAAGGAAGTTCACCAGCTTCCATTTTTGGACGTCTCCAGAAGGGTCAATTTCAAAGGACTTTGGCCTTTGAAAATGTACTACAGAATGTATTTTTAAAGAATTACACTGTAAAGGAATAGAATACAATTATAACTATGCTTCGAAACGATATTTCATTAATTTATTTATTTAATAATTCTAACAATTCCATATTTTTATGTTTTGAATTCAAACTATTTCTAATCTATGCTTCCGGTGTGTGTCACCTCGAAAGGACAAATTTGGGAGAATTCTCGTCGTGCTCTTTTAAATGGGCGTGGGGAAGATACTCTAAGGTGACCAGATCCTCATAATTGTAAAGGAGGACACGGGCTTAAAAACGAAGGAGATTTGGAGAAAAAAAGAGGACGGTCCATAATATTTTAAATAACAATGTAATATGTGACACATACGAGTATTACATTGTTATTTAAATGCACATGTTACTTTCTATTTTTTAATGTATTCTGTCACATTTAAAGTACTGATATATTCAAAATAAACCAAAATTATTTGATATAAAGGCGTACGGCCTAGCTTTACATTCGACTTCATTCTCCTTTTGAATGCAGGATATTTGCTGGCTATGGCTTCAATCTGCATTTTTGCGTTGGCATAGTTCAACCTGCATTTTTGCTTTGGCATAGTTCAACCTGCATTTTTGCTTTGGCATAGTTCAACCTGCATTTTTGCTTTAGCATTTTAGAATATCATTGAATAACTTTAACAAAAATATGTCTTAAGAACATAAATCCCGTGAGTTTTCTGCCTTGGCAGAATCGCCAATAGTTCACAAAACTACTAAGAATCGTCCAGGCCTCAGACAAAACTGTGAAAAGGAGGACATCACCAGATAAAGAGGACGTCTAGTCACCCTAGGATACTCCATCCCCTGTGTTGAGGGAGTCTGTCCTGCGACTGCAGCAGCCGATAGGCTACGCTAATGAGCTCTCCACCCAATTAAAGAACTGGGTCTCCGGGTTAACAAAGTGTAGAGTCAAAGAATCTGCGATAATTTTAATGAACAGTTTAATTACGATCTGATACATAGGGCTTAATTATGTATTATCGTCAAAAGTGTTATGCGTCAACTGCTTAACGAGCATTCATGAATGTTAATGTAATCTGACAAAAGATAAAGTAAGACAACATGGAAAAGAATATACTCGTAATTTTTTGTTACGTGTCCACATATCTTCTACCTGAACGAACAAGCAGATGAGTGTTCAGTTCCCGCATTTAAAATGCAAGACTTGATTCCTTTTTCTGTGCCACCTGTAGAATTCGAGAAGTGCCTGCACCGACTAAAGTCTGTACGGACAAGGAAGAAAAAACCACGGGACATGATTCGATGGTTTCGTTTTTGCAATACTTTATCCTCAGACTTAGGAGATCAAAGTTCATTTTTTATAACAAGACTACAATAAGTTCCAGTCCCGCCCATTTATTCGTTAGTTTCGCTTTCAAAAAGAAAGAAATGTAATGCAGTAATCTTAATGCATAACTTTTTCGTAGACACTGAGATAGTGACCTTCTCAAAATAATATTTTCAATTTTTTCAGAATGAATTATTCTTAAACATCCTTAATTTTTACTCTAAAGAAATATTAATTCATGTACCTTTAAAATTATATTTATATGAATGGGTGAAAACAAGAACGGTATATGTGACATTTTATACATTCTGAGAAATCTGTTGCAATATCACGGTAAGTCGTGGTGCTTTGTTTCACCATTAAAGCTACGGCATTTCAATTGTTCATTAAAACCATAAAAATTTATTGACACTGTAATACAGCCCAAAATAATACGTTTTCCCCAGAATTTATAAAATGTCACTTATACCGTTCTGGTTTTCACTCATTCATATGTTGTAAACGTTTCTTGATGGTGAATTAAAACAGATATTTATCTTAACAAAGATGTTTATTTTCTTTCTTAATGATACACTGAAAATACTGATTTTTATATAGATAGTCCTGTACAGTCCTTGAGTTTCTCACTTGGTTATTTCTTTTCACGCGGCTCACATCTCTTCATTGTTTCTTTTCACGGTTGACTTCGTTTCGCTGCACTGACTACTGCACTGCAATATACCACGCTCGAAGCCTTTGCACTGTTACACACTCTACTGCACAGACGAATATACAGAACGTATTAGTAACGAATACATGCAAAGTCTGAGTGAAGTTGAAATAATATTAAATGAGTTTGTATATAATGCGCTTTTTATGTTCAATATCTACATAAGAGTGTTCTGAGAAGTGCCTGAAATGAACCATCCATACATTTAGTCATTTGCGTGTTGTTACAAACACTCACACAGTCAATTATATATAGATAATTTGGAGTGGTGTATGCAGTTCCTTACCTAAACACAACGTGCAAAGCTGCATTCAAATAATTGTCCATTTCATTTCTTGAAATTTGAATCTGATTGACAGTACGCTTCATATAAGGTTGCCTCGAACGCTGGCGTATCTGCATTAACATTTGGCTTGGCAAAAAGCTATGCAACATCGCAGGGTGCGGATGTTGCTTGTGGGCGCGCGGGCGAAGGCGCTCTTTTGTTGCCCGAGCGGCGCGTCGAGATGGCGGAAATGCCTGGCGAGGTTTCCTCGCGTCTTTCGCGCGGGTCGATGCACTTCCAACTGGACGTTGTCGCGCGGCGGAAAAAGCAGTGAGCTGCAAGTTGCGAAATGCAGGGAGGTTAAAACCAGATGCAATGCATATTTGCAAGTAATGCTTGCTACCCCGGCCCCTAAATTTCAAGTATCCCCTTTATAATTGCATAGGCACGCCGGGAGCGCACTCATTTCCTCGTGATGGGTTCGAGACCGGGCTGTGCCAAAAATGAAGTTGCAGGTTTCTTTTAAAATTGTCTGTTTCTGTGGCTGTGCGACCAAGAAAAGCTCTGGCAGGCGGAGTTTGCTGTAACGGTGAAGGGAATACTTCATTTTCGCTGCATGTCTCTCTTACCCCCTCCCCCAAGTGTGAGAATTACACTAGGACTACGCACGGTGGACACCGTTAGCTGACCGGCAAAGTCGGACAATTGACGCTAAATGTGATATACATACATGCTTACAATTTTCTAAACGCAATACTGTTTAAAAAAGCTGAGTGAAAATTACATAAATAAATGCTCAGAAAAACGTTGCTCTATAACGATGAGTTTGTTTGATAAGCTAATTCATGCGGATATGTTCACCAGCTCTATTAGATGTCTTTTAATTGACTCTTTATATCACGGTTTTGTTTCAAGAAAAAATAACAAGTATTCTGCCTAGGTTTCACAGTCAGGTAAAAATTTCATGTGATTATAATCGGGAACAATTTATAAATATTTTTAAATTTAAAATTTCATAAGCAACTTTTTTGTGAACTAGAAGCGAAACAGTTGGTTCTTTCATAAATTGATCGTGAAAAACGTAAACAATGTTTGTGCAAGCTGAGAGGGCTGGATGTTGTTGGTTGGTGGTTGCTGCGATTGCGCCCTCGAGGGGCAGATGGCTATCGATCTCGCAGCGCCCGCCCTCGCCCTCGCCCACCTGATGCGCCTCTGGAGGGCCCTTGCGGGCGGAGGCGCCCTGTGGCCACGCCTCCCCCTCCCCACGGGCCCTCCCCCCTC